TAAAATAAAAATAGTAATGTGTAATATTTCTCTTCGTATCCCTTTTTAAAATTAATTATGCATCTCTTTTCAAAGCCTGCCAATTTCAATCTTTTTAGATTTTACTCATTTGAGATATTTTAGGCTTTTAATTAAGAGGACAGGGATACTGAGGCAGGAAGACACGACTGCAAATTAAAATTCTGGCACTAACAACTACTGCTGATTTTTTTTGGCCAGTTACTGCTTTACACTCAGAACCTGTGTCTTCATATGAAAGACAGAAATAATATGTACTCCGCTCCATTTTGAGCAGGATTATAGGAGATTAAGTTATGAGAGAACCTGGCAAACATTTATAGCTTTATAAATAAATGTTAATTCTTTTCTTTTATTCTATCTCCCTTCTCTTCACTGTTTCAGCATCTATAGTATTTATACGTTTATTAAAGTCACCTTCTGAGTGTTTTTCAAAGGGTAGACTTTTATTTTAACTGAAGTGGTGATGATATCATAACCCTAGGAGTTTTTGTTCAGTGGCTTTTGAAATCCTATATTTTATTCTTCTGGACTATAAGGCCCTTTAGGGGAAGGACTGCCATTCTTTGAATCCCTATTGTCTGGCAGGCCAGTAATATTTATAATATGGAAAACAGATTATACAACATTAAAAGGCATTAAGCATACTTTGTATCAAAAATATATGGAGAAGCTATTTACATTATTTGCTTTGTGATCAAGAATTGAATAATCAAGATCTTATAGATTAAGGTTTACATTTTTCCAATTTTTTAAACTTATATTTCTGTGTAGTAATATGAAAGACCATTACCTTAACTGTCACAAACAAAATCCAAGTTTCAAATAAATTTGTATTAGAGTTGTTTAATTCTCTTATTTTAAATCTGTGCATATTTCCTTTTTTCTATAATGACAGCTTTACAAATACATTATTTCAAGTATGTCTCTTTAGACTCTGTTAGAGCCTACCAAGGAGCTCTCAGTGTTTGGGGCGTATCTGAAAAAGTAACATCAGCAGTTCTGCCATATTACACTTTCTGCATCTCACATTTAGACATGACTGGAGGGACCTGAATATCCTCACAGATCCTAAAAAAGTAAAGAGTCATTGACCAAGGAAAAAACTGTTGGTTTGGTTTTACCTTGCAATGTTGGAGGTCATTTGGTCATTTCTAATTTCTATAGGATTTCTAACACTTTGCTTGAGTAAACTGAGAACATAATCCCCAAATTAAGGAAACAGCTCATCTAATAACTAATTACCCTAAGTGACTTCTATTTCCTCCTTAAACACATGATCCTGCTGTTGTCACCCTCTTGCAGAATCATCTTTCTCCCATATTTACCCTCATAAACACAGAACTCACATTTCCTGATTTTAGAGGAGAAGGTGAACTGTTAACTGCTGACATGTACCAAAGGCCAAAATTGTTGGCTACAAAGGAGAAATTTTAATTTTTCTTCAAACAATTTTTCTTTCTTTATGGCTAAATTATTTTGCCTCCTCCCCTACCATGCAATCAATTTAGAATAAGGAGCATATAAATACTCCATGATATTATGTATTTTTAAAAGTTCCTTACATATTAATACAGTGTCATCCTGAAATAGAATAAAAAAGATTTAAAATAATGTAACTGGCTTTCTGAACATTTTAAAGGAAGGTGCTAAAATCTAAGTATCTTTATGAAATATTTGTATAAATTTCCAAAATTAGGTTTAGTCTTTTAGAGTAATCAGAAGCTTTTAATTCTACTTAAGAGGTTTCTAAATATCCATTTTCCTCCCTTCTTCATTTTTGTCATTCTAACATTCATTAGAATATCCATCAAAGGAAAATAAATAGAAAAGGGAGAGAAAGAACATATTCACTCACTTTAATGCTTGTCAGCCAACTAAGTTAAAAACGTATTTGTGGGGATTACGAAAAAAGTAAGGTGATAGCAAAAGATTAAACTGATGCAATGGTGTTGGGAATTACCTTTCTATTTCATTCATCCACATTAGCAATCTTTTCTAGATCTGACTACAAGAAAGTTACATGGACACAGACCCTCTATAATCCATTCCTTTTTCCACCAAAATTCTTCGATTCATTCTGCACAAATGTATGGAGGACTAATGGGGGTGAAGCATTATTCTAGGTGTTAGTGGACAGCCACAAACAAAACAAAAATCCCTGTCTTCGTGGATTCTCATTTTCCAGTAGGAAGAGAGATAAATTTTAAAAGTACAAATACATAGCATATTAGATAAGTGCTATGAAGGAAAATAAAACAGGAAAAGAAGGATATGAAGAGTCCAGGGCAGGCATAGGAGCTGAATTTTTAAATTGAGTGATCATTCATTCTTCTGCTCCTTCTTCAAAAAAGTCTACACCATTCTATTTTCCTAAGCATCAAACTATATTGAGGCATATATTAAGAACAAATTTTTGTTATAGAGAACAAGTAGATAACCACAAAAATTACATTAAAAAATTTTAATGACAGAAGAGCCATTGTTTAAGTTTTAAAAAGACTGCTTCTTATTACTTTCATAAGCCTGCTGGTAAAAAAGGTAGATATATCAAAATAATTTTTATTGGTGATGTGATAAATTCTTGGATAAAACTTGATACTCATCAAAGTGACTATCAAGTAATAACAAAACAGCATTAAAATCTTGAAAAAAGATTTTTTCATATCCTGTGTTGATTAATTTGCTGAGCTTTGGGTGGGCAGAACAAACAGCTCTTCAATATATGGTACAACTGATGTCCAGCTACGTTCCAACAGTGGCTGAAAAACATTTATGTAGGGTTTTACTTTTCCATTTAAAAACTTTTGCTATAATGGTCAAATACCTCCCAGGCAAGCTGAGCTATTCTCTGGTAACATGAGGTCCCTGAGAACCCGGAAGGCTGGCTAGGTTCTGTATCTAGGAAGGCCTGTCACAGTAAGCTTCTGTTAGTTACTACCACAACCTACCTACCTACCTCAGTGACAGCTATTCTAAGACACAAAAACTTTCAAGAAATCTCAAGTGCTCTCAAATTACTCACGACTCTCCCTCAGTATTTTATTGAACCAAATATTTTTTAAAGTAAGAATATTAGAATTCTACTGATGAAAAAGAATACCTCCATGGTGATGTGACAGGCTCCCTCCATTTGCGAGGATTTCTTCTCTAGCGGCTGCCTGCATTTGGAAACAACACAGCAAATCATTGCTACTTAGATTTCGCTTCAGAGTAGAATAAGACCCAACTCCCAAAGGAAGCACATACTTCCTGTGTTAAATAATAAACCAGAAGCCTAATTCTCCTCTCTTAGATGTTTAAAAACCAATTAAAGTATGTAGCCTAGCTTTCAGTTTTTTTCTAGTGAACAGTCATAATGTCTACAAAGACCACTTTGAGATTCTAGAAGAAAAAAGACAAAATGACCGATTCAGCAGCACTAAATTGTTAGTAATAATAATAAATAAAAAGTTATAAATCCAGAGTCAGGTTCTACCTTGCAGAACATCTCATTATACCAACAAGCATTAGTGACTGATACTTAACTGACTGCTTTCTGTACGTCCAAAAAAGTACCAAGTAATCTGCCTGCAGTATCTCATTTATTTTCACTATAGCCTTACAGAATAATTATAATTACTCCCATTTTACAGATAAAGAAAATGAGGTTTAGATAGGATAAATTATTTGCCTAATATCACACGGTGGGCATAGAGTCAAAATTACTTACAAAGCTATCACAGACCAACCATAATTGCCCTTATGGAGAAAATTTTGAGGGTGATGAATATATTCATTATTTTGATTGGGGTGATGGTTTCACAAGTGTACACATATATCAAAACTCACCATATTGTACACTTTAAATATATACAATTTACTGTATTTCGATTATACCTCAAGAAAGCTTTAAAAAAAAAAAAAAAGAAGAAAGAGGAGGGATAGGAGGGTACCAATCAAACCCTGTCTGTGGTTTGGGTCTAAAAGTGTGCCACTGAAATTATGTCGTAGTACTATCTTTGGCAGGCATGCAATGAGTTAAAGCACTAGGGCACCTGAGTTTTTAAGAAACCTCAGTTTCCCACAGGATCCTCCACTGTCTGTTAACTCTAGGCATACTTGTAATGAGAAACACTGGCCATCAATAGAAGGCTTTATAAAAATTAGCAGCTTAAGATCACTTAAAAAAATGTAATAAAAACTGCTAGCTAATGAACCTAAATTACCTACACATAGCTTTGGCATACAAAAAAACAAAAAAAGACAAACTTAAAATGATATTACAACCACACAGATCAAGAGCATTAGTACTGCTGACCTCAACAGCAGCAACTACCTGGAAATGGGTGGGCTGTCAAAGTGACATCAAGGATTCCTATAAGCCATAGGAATTCCTATTGTTATTTAATTTAATCAGTTGTTGTGTGCTCTAAGTAACAACCAAAGAATCAAAAACTAGGTATACAGTATATTAATTTTAGACTCATAATTCAGTATATAAGGCAGTATAACAAATATGTTTTTCATTACTATGAGCTAGCAGCCAGGCAAACCATGTGCAATTAAAGAGAATCAAACTAAAATTCATAAATTGATAGTAAACTTTATGGAAATTAATTACAAATGTAAAAGCTACATACATGTATGGAAAATTACCTCGGTTTGTTCAAACACGGTCAGTGGGTCACTAGTGCCCCTGTAGTTAAAGGCAAAATAGAAGTAGATACATGCACCTGAATCGTAAGTCTGCGTCACCCTAAAAAACAGACAAAATCCCCACAGGGGCTTTAAGTTAAATGAAATCAGATTTAACAGCTAGAAACTTAAAGGCAAGAGTACCTAAACGATTACCTTAAGCTATAATCTCATTCTCTACCCAGCCTCCTACTCCATGGACGAAATTTAGCTTGGCTTTCGTTAGAGTTATTACCAAAACAATGAACTGAGGATGTAGTGTGAAATGAGAGAATTTTACTTTCATTTAAGTACCAGTTTAGTCAATATTACAGGTATATATTCAATCTTTCTCTTGTTTATTTGTCCCATGTTACTAAAACTTCTATTGGGAAATAAAACAAACTCTTACACATTTCGTCAGCATTTTATGATGAAATGCCATTTTCAGTGATCTTATTGAAGTTGTTTTGTTATGTAGAAGTAATGGGAGCTAACAGCTGCATGTGTGAACAAACAATACATAGTCAGATAAGTATTGGTATTAGCTGTTTTAAACTGTATAATCAAATTAAAATTCAACAAAAACGCAACACCTGAAGATATATATATCTTGACAATAAAATAATACTAACTTTTTTTCCTCTTTCCTCTATTCACCAAATTTTATGTACAATTAGTTCTTCACATGGCTGGTATAATACAGTATTTAAGGCAAATCCATGTTGCAAATAGTATGGCTCTATTCTTTTTCAAAAGCATTTTTTCATGCCAAAGGACCACACAATGAGGTCTATACATGGATGTGATGACTATATTTTGTACTGCCACAGTAAATGGACATGATACAAAACATCTGCCCCTTGAGAAAGGCAACATTAGACTAGAAATAAAAGACTTGGTTCCATTCATTGGCCACATCATGACTCAGAACAGGAACATGAAACACATGGAATACATATGAACGCTCTAACACTGACTAAAATAAATTTTCATTATTTAAAAAATCTACATTGATAATATGTGGGCAAATTATAACCTTTTAAGAGTCTCATGCTCTACCGACTGAGCTAGTCGGGCCCCTCAATAACCTTTTAGAAGTGCATTAAGTGCTGTGACAACAACACTAGAAACTTGTCATTTGTATGGATTCTTCTGGCTCAACAGACTTAAAGATTTGGTGCAGAAAAAAGCGAATCACTGAAGTTGAGGCCAAAGGCCTTGTTCAATCCTGGCAATTTAAAAAATAAATGACAATGTAATAAATATCAGTAACATTTTTTTCCTACATAGATAATTTAAATGCACTAGATGATGCTCTTCTAAGGTCTCTCTATAAAAACATGATATAGCATGACAAACAGGATTGAAGAATGCTTATAATTCTCAGCTTAATAAGCTGAGACCTCAGTTTAATAAGCTATCTGATAATGCATTAGATACCCCGAGAGAGAGAACATAAAGACAGACAACATTAATAGCTTTAATGAAGCTTAAAAAGTAGTCTAGACTCTGGATTATACAGGTGGGAAATGCTAAAGGTAATTAAATCACAGTGAGTGATTACACAAAGAATAAGAAAATTTGGGTAGGTCAGATTGGGAAAGGTGTCCTAGAAAGGCATACCTAAATAAAGACTGACAGAAAATGTAAGATATTGTTCTAGGAAAGAAAAAGCATATTATCAAGATACTGGAAAATCAATCAGGAGATAAGAGAGGAGAATAAAAAAAGCCAGACATCCAGGAGTAGAGGAAGAAGATGGACAAAGAGATTGAAGGAACAAAGTAGGGAAGAACGAGCTGAAAATAAGCACAATTCTGACACCAGGAATAAGAAAAACTAAACAATTTGAGGAAGAAGCCAAGATCAAAGGACCAGTGGTGAGTAATGGCTATCACTCCCCTGATAGCATGCGCAGATATGCACCAACTCTACAGCACACATACCTCTGTGGCACACAGACTTGTTTGTCTCTCTCCCTAGGCCTCATATCTTCTCATATGCTTCTCACTCTGCCTCAATTACTGACTCTTCCTACATAATGAGCGATCTTTTTCTTCCTCTTCAAAAAATACCTTGTCATCTCAAAAGGATACAAAAGCCAACTTAAAGGTGTTCCCAGAGGCCAAATCTGGGAAAATATGAGCAACAAAGTGAATAATGATAATAATGGATATATCCCAGAGAATAAAATACCTATAAGTCCCTACTGATAGATAGATGAGGTTATGGGGGACAGGGAGAACTCTTCCTTACAGTGAACTCTAATCAATAAATGGAGACGGAATGATAAAAACAGAAAATCACCATTTGCAAATCACAATAAAAACTGTTATGATCAACAATGGGAGATTGACAATTAGGAGAAAGTATAAAAAATAGGATATTTGCATATCTTACAAACTTTCTCTTAAAGTTTCTCCCCATAAGACATTTATTAAGTACAACAGAAAAAAATTATGTATGTATGCATTTATTTATCTATCTATCTACCTATTGATTAATATTTAGAGACAAAGTCTTGCTCTGTTGCCCCAGCTACAGTACAGTGGTGTCATCATAGCTGGGACTATAGGCACATGCCATGACGCCTGGCTAATTTTTTTCTAAAAATAGTAATTTTATAATGGAGAAAACTGATAAATATTATCTTAGCAGGCACCACTTTAACCAACTGATCAAACTTAACATCATCAATAATGAGATATATCAACATTATGTTTCTCCTACTATCATACATCAAGAAGAGCACATCACTTCTGTGGTATTCTTGCCAAAATATATAACTTGAATTCTATCATGAGGAAACAACAGACAAACCCAAATTGAGAGACATGTTAAAAGATAACTGGCCAATATTCTTCAAAAGTATGAAGGTCATGAAAGATAAAGAAAGACTGAGGAATTGTTCCAGATTGGCGAAGATTAAAGAGATATGATAACTAAACACACTAAGTAATCCTGGATTGGATCCTGAACCAGAAAAAAGATATCAGTGGGACAAACAATAAAGAAACGCTTAGGCCAGGAGCAGTGGCTTATGCCTATAATCCTAGCACTCTGGAAAGTGGAGGCAGGAAGATGGCTTGAGTTCAGGAGTTCGATGACCAGCCTGAGCAAAAGTGAGACACTATCTCTATAAAAAACAGAAAAAATCAGCCAGGCGTGGTGGCACTTATTATCCCAGTTACTCTGGAGGCTGAGGCAGGAGGATCACTTGAGCCCAGGAGTTAGAGGTTGCAGTGAGCTATGATGACACTACTGCACTCTAGCTGGGGCAACAGAGTAAGACTCTATCTCCAAAAAATAAAAATAAAATAAAAAATAAAGGTTTGTAGATTAGTTAACAGTATTGTAACAACACTAATTTTGTGGTTTTGATAATCATACTATAATTATGTAGGATTTTAACATTTGGGGAATATGACTGAAGGGTATACGGAAACTATTTGTACTATTTTTGCAACTCTTTCTGTAAGTATAGATTCTTAACGCCCCACCCCCCAAAATTAAAAATTTGAAAACAATGTGAATGCTTCCCCAGCTGGCCTGAAATAAACAAAAACCCCATCTCTCACAGGAGGGCTTTTTTTTTTTTTTAAACTAAGTATACTGCAATTAAAGACAGCCTCCAGACAGACTAGATGGAAGTTGGTAGTCAATTATAAGTTTTCCAAACTTTCTCAAAGTTAACAGAAATAAGTATGAGAACTTAAAACTCAGAAACAGGATAAATGTTCAAATACTAAATATGATCAGATTGGGTGAAATATGTTCACTAAGTGCACATTACTAATAAGAATTTGGAACACAAATTGAATGATCATATCAAATGCAGTGAAATGGCCTTAAAATACAGTCTAGACTCCAAACGTGTATATGTTATATGTGTGTATACAAAAGATATCAAGAATGTTAGATTATTAAATCATATCTATAATATATATCTGATCTTTCACAATGCAATTGGGAAAGCATTTAAAAGGGAGCTAAGGTAATCATAGTCAAATCTCCATATGCAATTTACAGTTTCCCACAAAGAATTTAATTTAACAGAAGGAGGATACAGAGGAAATACTCTTTTTACTACACAATACAAATAGAATCTAATCTAAAATTTTAATGGCCTTTTAGGCCAAATGTTAGGTGCCTCAGAACAGAAGAAATGAACTGTTTAACAATGCTACTGTCAATTTGCCAGCTGTTTTTTTCTTATAGTGTTAATTCACCCTCATAAAAAAGGTCCCTTGAATGTTTACATTTTAAGCACCAGATTTACAAAGTTCAAGAAAAATTGGAAAACCATTTTAACTATGAGGACACTATCATTAGTAGTAACCAAATTCAAATAAAGTTTGGATAAATGAATGAAATTAGTTTACAGCAATTAGTAAAATATACATCACTCATAAGAGAATCATTAATATTAATAAACAGAAAATGTAACTAAATATTAATAGAGCACTACCATCTTCCAACAAGACCAGGATCTATATATTACACAGTTCAGTTTTCAGTAAATAAGCAGACTACTGAAGTCACAACAAAGCCTGATGGGCCTGAGTGATCAGTATCTCAGACAAAATCCAAACAATGAAAAACACCTTTTGAAATACCTCAGTTTGGGTGCATTTTAGAAAGTGACTCAAGTCTAACACTTTTTAAAATAGATCAAGTCTATCAACCTCTTCCAAATAATCTGAACAAGTAATATTGTATTAATCATTGTCGAAGTCACTATATTATTCTTTAATTTCTAAAAAAGCTTTTGTGTTCTATACTTTATGTAGTACTTTGCTTGTGTTAGATTCACTTACTAGTAATTCCTTCTCATGTAACTTCTACAGAAAATTTAGGATCGGAATTTCCATTCCAATGTACAAAGTATCTCTCAATTGACAAAAATGAACTCAATAACTACATCTGAATTATTTTTCTTAGGATCTTTGATTTTTAATTAGAACTATAATTATTTTAAAATAAATTTTTAAAACCTGGTTTAAAAAACATATCTCACATAATTAACACAGAATAATCTCCTTGGTTACTATTAAGCAACTCAAACTAAACCAAAATCAAATTCTAATTAAATGTTAGTTTAATCACGTATAAGCCATCAGAACTACATTTAAAACTTATTTAAATCAAAGCCATTCAAGTAACTAGACTTTACAAATTCTAACTGGTTTTACAAGATGATCACAGAAACTAAGCATATAAGATTTTATAAGAAAATCATTCTTAAAAAAATAGCCCACTCAATCAATATGACATATGGCCAGTTCAGTCTAAATATGCTAATTCTATCTATCTACAAGACAAAATGAAGATTTTTAGGCCTCATGAATATGTTCTGAAGAACCTAGATTTAACTATTTTTACAGAATGTGCCCTAAGGCAGGATATTTTACTTTCCAATCATTTTCAGTAAGTAGTGGTTTATTATTACAATGAATATTTTCATAATAGAGGGGGGCTCTCAAGGGATGGTGAATAGAAAGTTAGACCCCTCCCAAGGAGTGGGGAGAGTAAAATCTGTCAAATTGCCACTTGACAAAACAAAGAAACGTTTCAACTACACAAGAATAGGCTTTATTATTTAAAATGTTTGAAACTTTGATGGTAACAAATGGCTTTTGGATTATTAGGTCTGATTTGTTTTCGGGATTATAATAAAACAGGCCTATCTGTCCATCTAAAAAATTGGAATATCAAGAGAAGAACAAGGTATCAATTTGGGTTGATAATATAAATAAGCACAATAATATAAATAAGCACATCTTTTTCTTAGATTTTAATGATTTTAAGATTCATTAAAAGATTCATTTTTTACATACACTGGGGATAAGAATCCTTATTTAAT